TAATCTTAAGTTCTGGCAACACTGCTGCCAGTAAGTGCCTGGCGATTATTCTGCTGCAAATACAGAAATTTTCCTTACAAACATAACCTAAATTAAGTGAACAGGAAAAGACATCAATTTAAAATTGGTATGCTACATCAGGATGCGTAGCCATTTTTTTAAACAAAAATAAGCACCTTACAAGTACATTTTAAGCACTCATAAAAGATTTCTAATCACTTTACAAAAAAATCATAATTTGGATCTTTGCAGTAATAAAAATTATTTTTTTCTATTGGTTGAAGATCTTAATTTATAAACATAACATCAATAAAATTCAAAAACATTTTCTAAAACTTTACATAATTATGTTAAAATAACTAATCTCTGATAAATATTGCAGAGAAAATGATAAAAATAAGCATTTTTTAAAATTTAGAACGAAAATTGACACAGCAAAGAAAAAAACCTCTTTACAAAAGATAAAAAATTAAGCACTTTCTGCATACCCCCAATAAAAAAAAAAGTTACCTTTATGGGCTTTCAAAGAATGTAAATAAAAAATAAGCATCTGTAAGCACTTATTAAAAACACTATGCACCCTCTGTGCATATTAAACATAAAGCCAGGAATTAAAGTTGAGATCTTCTATGGAAATCTATGGTTGCACCATGAATAAATCTCAAGAAGAAAAAAATATACAATTTTTATACTTATTTTTCTGAGAATATGGAAAAGAACTAATATTCTTGGTATTATTTTGGTAAAGGTCATTGAAACTATGATGTTTAGCTGGCAGGAATCCTTATAAAATTATCTTTTAATTCGACACGTTAATAAAATCTTAATTTTTAAAACAATTTTCTAAAGTTCAAAAGATAATTCTGAAAGCAAATTCTGCCTAATTAATGGCTTTTGGCGCGAAATTCCATTACTCATTAATACAATTTATAAAAAAGTAAAATTTACTAAGCCAAAAAAGGTTAGTACTCATTTACATTGAAATGAAATTAATTATTCAGAACTCAAAATACAGAAAGGACTTATACATTTTACACCTACATTAAATGCTGAAAGAATCATGATTTTTTCTAAATTTTTGTCCATTTTCAAAATGAAACTCCGAGTGCAAAACAAGTTAAATAGCACTTTTAACAGCAAAAATAGCTTCTTCGGTTTAGAATTTCAATAAAATATAAATAATTTTTTAAAAAAAATTATATTAACATGAGTTAAAAAAAATATATATATATATATATTTTTGAATTATGCCTAGATGAAATTTTCCATTAGTCTTCTAAATATATCCTTTCATAAATTTTTGAAAAATCAGAAAAAATTATTTTTAAAGAAGTCCCAAAACTAATGCTTAAGTATCAATTAAGTAAGCCTTGCTTATTAACTGTGTGAAATTTCCTATATACCTGTGTAAAACAAATATGAAGTTTTACAAATTGTGGCTAATGTATTTTATAACACTAGACAATAATGGAAACACATACAGGCAATACTAAATTGGTAAATACTATATATCAAATGTAAACCAATAGAAAATTCTAGCTATAAACGACAAATAAAAAAACACATATCATTGAAAAGTTATAAAAAATGTTTATAAAGAGAAATTAAAAAAACACTATATAAAAGTAACAAGATTATAAAAAACTGTATTCAAGAACATGTTAATGAAACACTCATAAAATAATGCCAACTGATAGAAAACTACATATGAATGCAAACAAGTTAGAATATTAACAATTGAGAGAGGTAATTCAATGAATCAACAAAAACTAAGTTTAATGAGTTAAGTTTAATGGAGTTTTAAAACAGAAACAACATACTTATTTCATTGTTTCTACGGATATCACAAAATTTCACATTTAGAATTTAGCTTATCAATTAGGAGAAATTATTTATTTAGGAGAAATTATTTATTTAAACTTAATAACATTAACCATTGAACTATTCAATAAATAAAATATTTAAAGTGTGTGATATAGTGTGTATAATACCGTTTAAAAAGTAACAGTTAAGCTATAGAAGAAAAAAAAATTTTAACAGTTAAGCAATAGAAGAAAAAAAAATTTATCGAATAAAAATTTTCATTTGAAAATTCTTTTATGATACGAAACCATATCAAATATATTTGATTCATAATTGCAGGAATAATCGTCTAAATAAATTGCAATTAAAATAAAGAAATAAGAAAACTTATATCTTAGAAATCATCGAGAACATAATGGTTAATTGCTAAAATAATTTCCTAAAATAACTGTTTGAACAATAAAATCCAATATTTGTGATATATGCTTATTTGCTTTTTAAACTTTTAAAAACTGAAGAAAATGCATTATGAAGGGAATATTGTGTTTTATATGATTTATGATGGAAAAAAAAGACAGAAGTTGAACTATATTTCGCAATTTCTAGCAAAAATTAGCACCAAATAAGCCTAATTGCCTACATAAAAAATATTACAAATTTATTACACTGAATCAACTATTCTTCCAAGATTTGAGACCATATATTAAATAAATTTCATAATTTGTCAAATAAAATTAGTAAATTTTTCAATTACATTATTAACTCTAAAATTAACCTTGATGATAGCTATTCACTTTTTAAACAATATGAGATTAAAATCGATGATTAATCAACAAATAAGAAAATACAGTACATTTCAAAAATAATTACTGACCTCGCTAGAATTTTAATGTGTTGTCCGAAGAAATATTTAAATAAACTGAAAAACTTTCAAGCAATCAGCATTATTTAACATCAATTTAACAAAATAAGTAAGTTAATGAAAGATGGAGTTGGTCTTACTTTTCATTTTGATTTTGACTGATCCAAAAACGAGGTAACCATTCTCAGAACATCTGATGCCATTTCGGGATGATCTTTGCATATTTTTATCCATTCTGGTTTTTTACTCACAACAGAAAAATGTTGTTTAACAAATTCAACCGACTTTTCTTTCAAAGTTCCATCCGTAAACAAATGGGACATCTCAAGAAGTTGACAAACAGTACCTTCATTTAATTCAGCCTCCAGTATGTCTCTACAATCTTCTTTAAGACCATCAACCGCATACTTATCTGCAAGCACGTACAGATTACGAACCATATCGTAACTTTTGTCACTGATTTCACTGCAGTAGAGATATTTTAAAAACTTATCTATAACAGAGGCATCTATATCGGTGATCTGGATGGTTTTCGAATTGGATTCCAAGCAATCGTTGCCCAGCATAGCTTTAAATACAGGAGAGCGAGTCATAAGCACTAATTTGTGGGCGAGAAGAGAGTCATCCCCAACAGTGATGGTCACGTCAGCCATTTCTTTCGAATCGTATAAGTTTTTAAAATCAGAGCATAGATTACAACCTCTTTTACGTGGAACATTTACTGCAGGAGTGATGGTGGGTTTTGGTGCAACAGGAAGGATAAAGGAAATTTTGAAGTTAAATTTTATTGCAATAAAATTATGTATACGCGAGAATACGACGACTTGATCAGCAACCCTCAAAGTTTCCCCTTGAGTAACAACAGTACACAAGAGCAATTCTCGTTGAAATCTTGCTTCTTTACACGAATATTCTACACATGCACCTGAAACGGATCGAATTACAATCTTTATTAATTGAACTCTGAAGTCTTCCGGTAATCTACCACCAGTATTTAAATAAAATTTAAATACTTCTTTCTCTCTATAACTTCCTTCAGGCTGACAATAAATGCTAAAGCTTGGATTATAATCTGTCCCTGTATAGGGATCAAATACTGAAACTCTTCCCTTAAGAGGCCAAAATATATCACTGTACCTTTTAGAGTAGGTAGTAAAATTTTCTAATTCCCAGTTAAAATCATAATTGATAATCGTAGTACGTGTCTCGGCCATGACAAACAACGAAATGGAGTGAGTAACACATATTTCAAAACCTAACCGAAATTGACGGAATCCGCAAGCATCAAATGATTTGCCACGTGGTATAAAAACAGCCAATTAAATTGATGAAGCAAGGTCAAAGCTCTGAAAGAGAGAATGTTAGGGGGAAATAAATGTAAGTTTTTATGAAAAGCTCTTTTTTAATGTTACGTTTGTTTTTAATAAATTGAAGTATGTACGTTGCATACAAATAAAAATCAGACGACTTATATCAATATAAAAACGATACAAATTTTTTTTTACCGTGTAATTATTATACAACAATAAAGGAGAATCATGAAATATAAAAATAAATACAAATAAGTATTCCAACAGTTTAAAACTTCTAAGGATTTTATCATGCATTAATTGTTTTAGTTTAATAAATTTCATCATAAAAATTATTTGAGCATCAAACTACATAGGTTGTTTTTTTTCTTTTCAATTAAGCAAAAAGAAAACATTTCTTGATAAATTTAGATTGTACGAACCTAATATCAAAACCTAGTCATATTAAAATTCGAAATAAAGAAATACCTTTTTTGTTTATTTAACGAGAGTTTCTTTTTCAGTTTTTTATCGATATACCTTTATAGTTTTTTTCGTCTCAAAAATCGAATCTCATAGTATCAGCTAACTAGTTTTTGTTTGGTATTCTTATTGAACAAGTATAGCACATGATATACAAAAGAGTTTCAGATCTTCAGTATGTTAATTATTAGGTTTTTATTGGTACTTATCCGTGTCAGCGGCCTGAAAAAAAAAATCCATAACCATAATACCTAAATTAGGTTTAGATACAATAAGTCCAAACAAATATCAAGATAAATAACTTTTGCTCTTACGATCAGATTTTCACGAACTAAAGCGTTTAACTTAATAATGTAAATTGTTGACATATAGGTATAAGTAGGGCCCTATAAATTATGCGGAAATTTTTTAAAAATTATGCGGCTAGGATGCGGCGATTTTTAAAAATTATGCGNTTTTTAGTATAATCTATACTATACACTAAATTTGGTTATAAATAGGGCCCTATAAATTATGCGGAAATTTTTTAAAAATTATGCGGCTAGGATGCGGCGATTTTTAAAAATTATGCGGCAAGGATGCGGTGTCTTTGACCCAGAAAACAATTGAAACTGAAAAAAAAATCTCTTAAAAAAGTTCAACTTTCTTTCCTGCTTTAATAAAAAAATTTTTCAATGAATACAGTAAAGATTTCAACTAAATTACCTTCTTATGTATTGTACATCCATTTTCTACATCAGAACAATTATTGAAGTTTATTAAAATTAGAGAAGTTAGTCCAGAAGCTGCGCTTTCTTTCAAACACTGTCTTTGTTTTGTGAAAATTTGGCCGTAGCAGGATACAGCTCTTTCACAATCTACTGAATTAGGAAGCACTGAGAGCACTTGTCTTGCTTTTTTTGTAAGTTCTGGAAATCTCTCTGAGACTACCTCTGAATTCCAGAATCTAATTAAGTCCTGGTTTGAACATTCTTTTACATATTCTTTGTAAGCAGCATACTCGAGTTTTATATCTTGACCACTCATTCCTGGAATATTCTTGAATACATCGTCGTCTTCAATATTGAGGTTGACTATTTGTTCTGGATCGAAAACTCGAGCAGCTTTCATGAAGTTTAATGCAGGTTGACTAAACTTGGGCTCGCGTTTTTTGAATACGTCTAGTTCTGGAGAGTAGTAAGTATTCAACTTTGCAATTGTTTTGTGAAACACTTCTTGAAGAAATACGTTGCGTGAATCTTTTCGTGAGTATGATGCCTGAGAATTACATCGAAGTTTAGACCGCAGATCAAAAATCTTATTGTAAGCTTTGTGAATAAATACACCACATGTTTCGAAAAAGAGAAGAGTATCTATTAATATCTGAGCGTGTTCTGCAATGAACTGAAAGTCTTTGCAAACGTCCACCTGTCGATAAAGATTCTTGGAATTGAAAATGAAGATATTTTTCAATTGAAAAAAAACCCTTAAGGAGAAATTTATCTGGTAAACGAATACATTTTGCTGAAAAATAAAAATTATACAGATATGCTGCAATCACGCGGAAAATTGTAAATTATGCGGATAATTGTGAATTATGCGGGTTTCCGCATCTTCCGCATCTTCGCATAATTTATAGGGCCCTAGGTATAAGTTTCAGTCTTTCTAGTGATAATAAACACTAAATTTTTATACGAAATTTTGGTCGTTCCGTCAGAAGTTCCGGGCTTCAGGATAATTCTGTAATAAGAAATATTAGGGGGACCGGAAAGTAATGTCGTTTCGGTGCATTTGATATATGCTATCAAGATTTTATTTTTAAACAAAAATGTTGTCACCCCTGTTAGCAATCTTTCAATGCCGGATCGAAAATAAATCGAAATGGATCAACAACAAAAAAAAAAATGAATTGGTTGTTGTTGTTGACGTATGCCTGTTTAGGCAGAGGGGTTGCGATTGTTCTTGTTTTCCAGTGGCGCCATCTATGGCCAAGAATTCGACTTCTGCCACACCATACGTCACACCTGTTTATAGGGCGGACCCATTGATACATCCACAGATCGTAATTTTGACCTGAATCATTTTAAGACTAACGTATATTTAATGCGTTGAAACTACATTTCTTTCTGGCATTAAAATAATCTCCCAGATTTCTCACATGTTACTTTTTCACTGAAATTCAAGTATTTTTAAAATTTACCGTAGTTAGCATGCATAATAACATTTTCCATAGTTAACATGTGTACCCTGTCAATGAGGTAAGACCGGTTGACTTTTTATTTAAAAAAAATAAAGTTATAGAAAAAGTGGCACATCTATGACTTTATAGGAGTCATATTTTGTACACTAACTAAACAGTGGACATCTTGATTAAATCTAACAGTTTCTAAGTTAAATAGTTTAGCTCCAAACAGACCATGGAATCTAAGCAGCCCGGTCTCACCTCACTTTCCCTACCTTATTTTTGCGTTATTTTCGATTCTGTTAGTTTGAGATAAAAAGCATAAAGCTGAAAGAGATATTTTTATTTTCTCTATAATTTTGTTTTGTAAGAAATCGTATCTTCTATATTTATTTTCATAATAATTTTAATAATAAATACAGTTATAATTACAAATAATAGTAAATAATAGTTCTAATAATAAATACAATTATAATATGTACAATTATAATATGTACAATTACTCAACTTTAATTTTAGCACAACTGCAGTTAAAATAATAGGCCCTATATAGCTATTCAAGCAAACAAATGGTAAAAATAAAAATTAAGCTAATCGAGCATGATTAAATGATGGAATCAAATCGAGTTGAATTCAGCCATAGTGACGCGCGTAGATGTAACTTTGAAAGAGGGGAAATTCCCTTTCACCTTGAATCACCCCTGTTACCTTGAATTTTGAGGATATTGGTGCAACATATACAATTGCTCTCAGCTAAATAACTTTTTTTTTATACGAGATTTTTTTTTAAAAAAACGTATGTATTTTACTCGTATATGATTATATACATGCCTTTTTAAAGAACTTTCAATAGTATTCAACTTGCAAATATTTTATTTAATAATTCTTTACATTCCTTTAGATTCAATATGCAATAACAAATTAAGAGATGAAACTATTCAATCAGAATTAAATTAATATGATAGAAAAATAATATTATAGAAAAAATATTCGTCTTTTTGGAATAGAAGGAGCTAGGAACCCCTTCAACCCCTGCTCGCTCCGCTCAGCAACACCCGTGCTTACCAAGCATTCTTCTTTGTTATTTTTCTTATAAGTCGACACTTTTCAGATGATCCAAGCAAATCGTGGTGGTTCAGGGAATAGAGCATTCGCTTTCTAATGAGGTGAACCGGGTTCGAATCTCAACAATGGCTGGTCGATACGAATTCCGCTCTCGGCTAGAGCCGCCCACAGAGCTGACGTGAAATATCCCCAGTG